GTATTTTTGTTAGCAAACATAATAATAAAAAATGTTCATTGTGGTAAACGCAATAATAATTTGTTGTAAATAAGAGTTTTCTTCTTCCAGATATGTAAACAATCTTTACATGATAGAAAAAAAATAATATTATTTTCGAAATTTGCGTAGCTGAATTATGGAAAATCAGTTATTAAAACCAAAACAACTTTTACGAAGTTTAAATTCGCAGGCATGTGTAATCAAAGTAATGATTGATTCTAAAACAATTTGGTGCATAAATAGAAAAGAAAGGCAAGTGGGATCTAACATTTTTGGTAATTTTAGAATTAAAAGTTGGAAATTAGCTCTTAAATAATTTTTCCTGATAAAATGCATAGCTTGCATGCGTTATATTAAAACTATTTTGGAGTCTTATCACGTCGTTGCAGTCCTTGTTGCTACGTCCGGTTATGCTCTATCTGACGACAGAACATCTTTAAAAAAGTCTAGTAGTGTACTTTCTATTGCAAAAGGTTCCATCGTAAGGCTGTTCTGTTCAAAGTAATATTTCCTCCTAGAGACTTTCCATAATCACATCTAATATACGAGAACCTCGGTTTCCCAACGCACACTGGTATGTCTTTGAATGGAACAGCATGAATACTAATTTCATTCTCCAGCTGCATGAGGTATGCGACAGTTGAATGTATATGTCGTGGGAGCAGTTTGTTTACATATGACTTGTATTTTTTTGTAAAGGGAAGATCATTTTAGATTATGTTGCGTACTGTTGCCTGAGTTATGCTAACGGTTTTGCTACTGAACTTTATGAATTTTTACCTCTGACAAGATTTCATATTTTATTTACCACGGCTGAGGTATGACTTATTTAGAGTCTATTTCTGGATGGTCCTGGTTTCCCAAGTTGATTCATATTTCTTTGTTTTCCAATTCTATTAAGTACAAGGGATATTCCCGTTTTGGAAATTCAAATATCCGGTTTGAAAATATCTTTATGATCTGGGTGTATGAATATTTTGCATCGGATAGGGATGTCATACCCTTCCCAAAAGCGATCAGTTGTTTGGGGCATCATACAATCTACCTAACCCCAAACAGTGTCAAAATGTAGATCTGACACATACCGTTCCACTGCAAGTTGATATTGGCTATTGGTGTCACGTGACTTTCGGATTTGCATATTGAAAATCCTTTTAATATAACGCACTCAGCCTCTGTAAGGTTTTGTCGAATACGTAAACATCAAATGCCACAAACAGGGCTTGTATGTAGCATCTACTTTGTGGCAGCCACTTGGACTAATACCTAAATAAATGGGATTTCAATTAGACCGTCACAAAAAATAGCTTCTATTGCAACAACACAATAGGTTGTAAATGTTGTAAAAATTTGCAGCTTTATAAACACAAATTATGTAACGAAGAACAAACACAAATTTACAATAGGTTTCTTGAAGGGGATTAGTTAATTGCAAAATTGTTCTGCTGTTGAGTGCTGCAACTAGAAAGATAAAATTATAGGATATTTTTACTTTTTTTCAATATTTCAATGAAAGGAACAACATCTAAGGTTTTAATATTTGCTTAAGTTAATTTTGTTGAAATTCCAATGGAGATATAGGGAAAAAAGTAACACCAAGATATATATATAATGATGATCTCCAGGCCGTGGTGTGTTGCAAATGGTTATCATTTTGAATACACAGGAAACTTTGTTATACTGAAATTTTCACTAGTCATTCATGAACTACTCAAATTGTTGAATTTATTAGTTTCGGGCTAGCAGACTATTTAATAATATCCATTGCCCAAGTACTGTGGGTGAGGTGGCGTGTACTATTAAATTCACATTATATCTGTGTTAGATATACACGACTGTTCATTATAAGTTTAATAAGAGAGTATTATTTAGCTTATATAGTGCGAATGTTAAAGTAAGCTATTTTTAGAAGCGATAGTTATGGCAAGTTTGCGTACGTAACTGTTTACGAATCGTTTGTTGTGTAGTTCAATTGTTGTGAATTGACGTCATGTTACTCGAACCTTCTGAATTTTTCTCGTTACTTTAAGTAAGTATTGTTACATTATATATCTAGTAATGTGTAGAAAGTACTAGGCCTCAGTTAGGCTCTTTATAAATACCCTGCAGAATGCGATAAGAAGTTAAAAAGAATAGTAAAAGAAAACAAAAGATATATAGATAGATATAGACTGGATGATCATGAGTTTAACCATAAAGAGTGTATAGTGGCGACTTTTAAAGTGTAATACTTGCAGATTGTATTGTAATAGCAGAGTATAGAAGATCAATTCGTCTTGTCAATTGGGCTCTAAAGTAACTGAACAAGCCAGTTTGGACTTCAGACAAAAAATAGAATAATGTAAAGCTCTGGATTCAACTGTGGTAATAAACTGTGTAACAAACTTTTGTACGTACGTTTAACTTGTTTTAATATATTATTTTAAAACAACTGGACTGTGTGCTCTTTGTTTATTGTTGAAATTTATCGCCAAAAAGTCACAGACACCTACAGTAAAGAATCCGGCCCATATATAAAACCTGACAATTAGAAGGAATTATCAACATATCTCACAAAAATTTAACTTTTAGCTTTGATATATAGAAGTTAATTTAAAAGTTACTGAAGCTAATTCTATATGACAAACTAACTAGAAGTACATAACGATATAAATCAATATACAAGAAATCTAAATCTTGTGTTGATTAAAAACCATTTATTAATAATTTGGGTACCCTCGCTGCTGTTCATTCTCACTTAAATTCGTGGTATATCTTGGTACTCAAAAGGCTACAGAATTTTGTGAGTACAGTTTTGGTACGCGTAGTGTTAAAAATAGTTCGCAATCCATAGCATAAATAAATGAGGTATTGTAATACAACATAAATTCATTACGAAATGAATTTATTAAAATTATTGTTTGCTAATAATTATTATTATCAATAATTCGTGTCTACCTTTCCAGTAAGCTGGTGAATGCCACGAAACTGACTACAGTCGACACATGTTTTTAAAGTTAGTTTGACCAAGATAGATCGTACTATAACATTGTACCTTCTGTGGACTTCGTGGGCCTCGAACTTGGAGATGGACTACTTTCGGTGTTACTATCTTTATAATTTCCAATTATTTCTAGTACAATTTGGATTAACATTTTTATTTCGTGGTTACCATGTGGCTTCTAGACTGTTTTAACACTGCAATATTCACAGTGATCGTGAAGCATCGCTTTTTTCTTCTTCTGCTAAGCACAATTTGTGGGTGTGAAAAATAAACATTTAAATTGGTCATGAACATCCACAGCGCTTCATATAGTATATCTGTCTATGTTTTGGTGCAAAATACCCTGTCAATTTTGCTGTAGACTTGTGAAACAATGATAATATGAACAAATGGGCAAATTTAGATTTTGTCTATAATCGTTAAATCACTTGTTTTGCTTATTATCAATTTTGGATGGTCTCAACTATTGAAAAGGAAGGTTTTGAGCATTGTCTCAAGAATAAGCCTGCTCTTTAAGGTGGTTTTTGCCCGAATGTTCTTTTAGCAAATTGAGCAAATTCCTGTGCAATCCCTATTATGAACCACTATTGTGGTTTATGATAATACTGAGTTTTTGTCTGCCCCGAAAATGCGCGCTCATCTTGCTATCTAAATGCGCATGAGTGCGTATTTTATTTCAACGGATATAATTATAGTTTAGTAAACGTTTTGTAAAACATAATAAAAGCTTATCAAAGTTTTCAAAAAGGTCTAACGTTAGGTCATACAATAACATTATAAGTTGATTTATTGATAATATTAAATACTGTAAAGTTTAGCCCTAATTAAACTAAAGCAAAGAACGTACACAAGTTACTGTGTTAATTTATCTCTTTATTGAATATAGGCAGAACTTAATAAAGGCTTAACTAATTTTTCGGCCTAAGACAAGAGGACTTATAGATTTTGGTGTCTTCTATTAGAATTATTTTGTATTATTCTAGAATTCCTGTATTTAAAGAAGTTACTAATTTGACCGAAAATGTTTAGCGGTTCTTTGCTAGTGTTAAACAGTCTTACAACCACAAAACAGTACCACCCCTCTTTTAGTGTTACATTGTTGTAATTGGAGGCAGTATTTAGGATCGTCGGGTGGTACTTCCCCATTCTCTAATTAAAGAAAAACAGGCCAATCCAAATGTCAAGTAATAAATATACCCTAAATAGACTCCTCCACAAAAGCTAATAGCAATTACAAAAGGGCCTGATTCGATACTTTTATCATGGTCACTTGAATGTGACGTGAGGAGACATTGGACATCGTTATATCATGGTCACTTGAATGTGACGTGAGGATACATTGGACATCGTTTAAAATTCTTTCAGAGATTAATGACGAGAGAAACTTGATCAATATATGGAAAAAAATCATAAAACTTGTTGAAAATAGCTCTGCGACCAATCTTTTACTGAAAGTATGATTGCTGCTTGGTTATCTGATTGCATGTTGTTAACAAATAAATGTATCGATAATTATTTCTATGATATTTCACAAAACATTTACGGAATTAATGAAGTTTTATAAATTTTAAACTTTTTAGAGATTTTTATGCACATAATATCTGGGTATCAGCACCAAGTGGTATGACTTTTCGTTTCGGAGTATTCTACAAGAACAATTTATTTATTTAGCAGGAAATGACACAATTTTATGATGGGATAAAAACATTTATTAATAATAAAAACTTTACTAGTAAGAACATCATTGACAAAATTGCTCTTCTCAAATTATTTTCGAAAAAAATAAGTATGTTTTAGCCACAGAAATTTGTTAAGTTATTCACAAGTTTTCTGATCGTGTTTATTCTAAGCGATTTTAATTTTCTTGCAGAGTCTGCCAGCAGGCGGCAGAGGGGGCATGTTGACAGGAGATACCAAGGCAGATATGATACTGGTGAGTGTAAGAAGTCTTAGTATTATATAACAATCTATCTTTCAAACGTATAAAAATCACTTCAGTTTATTTTAATGAAGTAAAATTTAGGTATTATAATTTCACTTCATCTAAACTATTTTATAGTAGTGCACAATAAATGAAGTTAGTGAAATGGAAAAATTACATTTTTAAGGTCTAATAACTATAAAAAGTAACTAAATACTTTAACTATTAAAAAAATTGCTGAATCAATGTCGGATTTAAGGATCAGTGGGGAGTGTCGTATAAGTATGGCGCAGGTAGGTTACAACCTCTCCTAATAGAAGTAAAAACAAATAAAATATTTTAATGGCAAGTATGTGACAATTAAGTGAATAAATACATTTAACTAGATTTTTGCTATGGAGTATCTTGGACGTAAGATCCTTGTTGACGACTTATGATTCTTTTATAAAGTTTACAGGCTGAGTCATATCTAATCCCTCTTGTATATTGCTGCTAATTTTGGGTTAGCATTACATACATAAGTTATGGACATATATTTCCAGTGTTCGATTTTAGTCGAGTCAGTGCTGCTTATGATCGCATGTTTTTTCATCCTAATTAAAAGCCTACCAAAGTTATGGAAATATAAAATGTAGTCTGAAACTTGAGCGTTTATATGTTGCGCTGGAAACACGAGAGCTATCATTCAATTTGGTATAGACTGATCTGAACATCAGAGCCAGCACTGTTAGCAGTCAGTATTTTATAAATCCAGAGACATCGAATTTTGTTCCTATGATGCTTCATTTCTGATTACCAATATTATATCATAAAAGGGTTCAAACTTCAATATATGGGCGTAAATTTTCGTTCGCATATGATGATTTTTTTTCAAACGTTAGCTCCCAAATAGAGGAACTGGCCAAATACCGCAGCGTAGTTTTGTTTACTTTATTAAAGCAAACTGCTCTAAATTCGATGACGAGGAATCCACTTTGATACTAATAATGCTTGGAGGCGGTTTGAATGGGTAATGAAGAAAAACTTTAATGTAAGTTTAACATAACAGCAAATATACAACGTTTCGACAAGGTTTTGTCATCATCATAACCTTGTCGAAACGTTGTACATTTGCTGTTATGTTAAACTTATATTAACGTTTTTCTTCATTACCCATTCAAGCCGTCTCCCAGCATTATTAAACTGCTCTAAACATGTGTGTACTTCGTGGATTATTCCCCGAAAAAGCTGGTCACCTTATGCTCCAATCCTTAAATCCATTTCTGTGAATCTGTGAAATAAAAATGTTTCAATTTTTTAATGTAGGAAAACATGATTTTAAAAGTAATATGTATGTATTCAACTGCTTTCAATCAGACTTTAGATTTCTTTACACTGAAGCGTTCCGAGCTATCAACATCTGTTTAATGTCATGAGGGAACACGAGTCTCTTAGGATGGTATGTATGGAAGTGAAAGGAATTTGCGAATCATGATTGTTGGTTCTTTTGAAATTTTATTTTGTATGAGTTATATATAAGTGTATGTTGGAAAAAGCTAGCTTGTTAAGTATTCAATTGTGAAATGTATGTGTATTTAAATATTACTTTACAAATGATTTTGTCCAGTAACCTCCTATTCTGGTTGTTCGGTGTTGGGATTTTACGTTATTCTATGAAATAATAAGTAACAACTATACTAATAATAAGAAAAGACGTAAGTAAATGAACGTTGTGTATGTACGATACTATAAAAGTATAGGAAGCTAAAATATATTCTAGTTAAAACGGTGTTGAACTGATTTAGTGATATGGAAAATTATAAGATTATTTATTCTGTCATGAAAGAAAGGAATATGTCGCAGCATTGGTTCATTATTCTACAAACATTACTTACAGGATAATTGAGTTATAGTATTTCTAAAGGTGTTATACTGATCATAAGATATATATATGTATATTTATCGAGTGAAGTATTGCCAAAATTATTGCTAACTATGAATTCACTGATTCTGGTTTTGCATTCGACGTAAAGGAGACGAGCATTGCTAGCTAGCTAGCTTTATTAGTGTAACAAGTATTCTTGAAAGATGGGGAAGTAATCCAGACCTTCTCAGGTTACAGTTTGTGTTTATATTTTCTAGAGTTCGATGAACCTGATCCGTGCCCCAGTTGCACATATCGACCATTCCTAGACCTTTTTATTTTTCTATTTTTTTCTATTTCGTTTTACGTGCGATTTTCAGGTAATCACGAAACTCATTGTTTCTGTTATTTCTATTATGTTGTTACAAGTCAACAATAAGTAACATGTGCAAATTGATATCTAAAGTTGCAAGTTTATTTAATAAATGAAAACTATAATGAAATATTTATTGTTTGTTTAAACAGCTGAACTGAAATTTTCAGCAAATGATTTTGGTAGGACACAAATGTAATAAATTATTATATTGTATATTTTTTTACATATTTTACTTCTCTGAACAATGATTATAAAATATATTTGTTTTACCAAAGTATAAATCTTGTTAAAATGCGTCAAAATCAGTTTATACATTTAGTATTGTAACATATGCGATTTTTATATACCAGAAGTATTAAAAGACATTTGCAGAAATCTGTTAACGATGTTATTATTTATTATCGTAATCACTAATCTCTTCTAACACAAGTGTAACTATTATTAAATCTACAAGACATTGCATGTTTCAATAAAGCATATGGTGGTGGAATCGTACTTTTACTTCCTATCTTGAAGTACAACAGACATGTTTTATAGTCTATTGATGTAACTGGTGCTTCTTCATAATCCCTACCCGATGTAACTGGTGCTTCTTCATAATCCCTACCCGATGTAACTGGTGCTTCTTCATAATCCCTACCCGATGTAACTGGTGCTTCTTCATAATCCCTGCCCGATGTAACTGGTGTTCTTCATAACCCACTGGGCAGGAAAAGAGATTTTCCGAGCTACTCTAGCAGTTTTAACTACTTACTACAATTATACAAGTGTAATATTTTCATTTTTATTCATACAATTACTTGTTATCGCAGCTCTAGAAGATGGCAGTGCTTACTTTGGTGACTCTGATACGATGCATCAAGGTTCTTATTTCGATAGTTCCAAACGTACTGATCCAGTTAAGTCTCCTTTTCAATGGAATTTCAATCGTAGATCAAGTCACTCAAGAACTCAACACGGACATGGTGACATCGAGACTACTCGTACATTTTCTTGGAATGGAGCTTCTGGGAAAATACGGACAAAAAGTTTTTCCCAAATGCTTCCAGATAAAACTTTTCAAGAACGTATAGAAAGGAATAATTCGGGTGAAAGCCAAATTAAAGGAGGCGGCTTTATTTCACATAGTAGAAGCGCATTAGCTGGCTTTGATGAAAATCAAAATGTCCATAAAAGGAGACTTCCACGCTCAGACAGACAGGAATCGTCCTCAAATAATCTAGATTCCAATAGAACCTCTGAAAGAGATTACATTCATAGAAGGTCTGGAAAACACACATCTAAGAAAGCAGAAAACACCTCCACTTCTGTTCATTACAGAAGACGATACTATGGACGATCTGCTTCTGAATCATCTAGCCAGACGTATTACAACAGAACGCACTATGATAGTTCTTTAGGAAGTTTATCAACTGCTCGAAGTTCATACAGCAGGTCTTATTTTGCTGATCGAATTACCGACTTGGATAGCAATGCATCGTCAGATATCAACGGACATCCATTTCATTCTTCGATATTATCATCTAGACTTGGGAATACTTCTTTCGTGGGGGGAAATATTAATTTGTATAGCGAAATACGCGACAAATTTGGACGAGAAGATGACGAGAACATTGAAGACAATGTACATCCTTTTGGTAGGATATTATTTTTTTTATTTCTGACACTAATACAAACAAATATGGCACATCTCAAGATAGGCCTGTTCATTATTAAAACGATTTTTTAATATCACACTTAATATACACTAGTATTGTTATGAATTATTTTAACATTAATTGTTTATAGATTAAGTTAGTTATTTTTTAATGGTAGACGCAAAAATATCAAATAATGTTGAACCTGTTAGATCGCTTACATATGCACAAAATACAGTTTTATGAATTAATCTGTCCGTATAAATAGAAAAGCTTTAACAATCCCTAAAAATGAATGGACACATAATTTCTTGCCTAATTAGTTTAATATTATTGTTATTTAATATACTTAAGCTGAAGGGTAATAAAAAAAACTGTACAACAATTAATTATTTGTTTGTTGCAAAATAGTGCCTTAAGAAAACGTTTTCTGGAAACAAGTTATAAAATTCGTAAACTTTAGGACAACAAGTTAGGAATATATTGCTACGTAGCAAAGCTATTTTTTTTCTCATTTTGCATATTTCAAACTAAACTAACACCAGTCCTTTTTATTTCATTAAACATGTTTATATATTCAGAGACAGGGAAGTTTATTTATTTATTTTTTCTTCTAGAACGTATGTATCATTTTTAAGTAAGTAAATTATATTAAAAAAAAAATACATTTTGAGAAACATAGTAAAAATGTTGCAAACTAAATGTGTGGTCAATTTTGAGGTAAAATTTCTTGGTTAAATAATAATGTAGTATTTATAAACATCTCCATTAACCTTAAGTTCGTGGGTCTATTGTACAGAAACTACCATGATTTAGTGGCAACTTCAAACAAGAAAACAACGTTCTACAATAATAAACACTTCAAGGATAACAATTCTTGCAGCAACAACGTACAAGTATAATTTATGTATAAGCTGAAACCGAACAAATACTAGTTAACAGTCCTAAAATTTATATAATAGTTTATAGATGAGAAACTGTTTATAAAATAAATGCTTTCTAAATTTTTGTTATTCATATCTTGTACTACAAAAGAATAACAAGACAATTCACAGCTGTCAGATAGAGCATGATCGGATGTGAGGATATGGACTGTAACGGCGTGGTGAGGCTCCAAAATTGTTTTAATACAACGTTCTCAATCACTGTATACTCT